TCTCCGTCTGCGTGCGTGAAGAAGCTCCCGTCGTCATCGGGTAGGAGAGCGCACAATCAATGCCCGTGGGGTTTCCATCGATTTCCCGGCGCAATGTTGGCTAAAGAGATGTACACCGGCCAACCCTTGAGTCCGCCATCAGTCGTAAGAGTTGTTTCGTCCGAATAGATGATAACCGCAGCGACTGCCTTGCCTGGATCAGTAGATGGTAGTTCACGCAGTACCTCCCGCCACCAACTCCCTGTCTCAGGGCCCTTGTAAATCCGTTTCGCCGGGTTGAAGTTCTTCGGAGGGCGCACAACGAAACCCTGCGCATTCGCCACGTTCTCGTACAAGCTAGTGACACACGTGAGCGCCGAACGCCGCCATAAGATCACGGGCTTCAAATCTCCCGCCTTCGTAAGATCCACCTGCTCAAACGGTTCAATGTTGGCCCCTGCCAGTTTCGCCTCTTCGTACTTGTCGAAGTCTGCCAGTGACTTGAGCGTTAGCCGGCCTGGGTTGCGCAGAACTTCGACGAGGATTGATATCAATTCCGTGATATCTACACGCGAAAGCCCGGATCCTCCAGCTGCCGTGCGAATGAAACGGTACGCACGAGCATCAATGTCAACCGCTGTAGCATCACACTCCGGGGCAAACGCGTAGCCTGTAGTGTCCTCGTTCATTTCAGCAGCGTCAGGCTGCTCATCAAAGCGGCTCGGCCCTGGCTGCGTTTCAGGGCGTGTGCGCTTGGTGCCTCGTGAAAGAAGACGGTTTGCAGCTGCTCGTAACCTTTCCACAGCTCCCCCTTGGCTAGAGTCATCTCTCAACCCCTCAGATGCTGCTTCTTCCACCCTGCTCTTGTGCTGTCCTTTCCTCATATGCCGTGCTTTCTGATGTGCAAATGAGAATGTAGCTACACATTGGGGGTAGAGGTCACACTTGAATGGTCTGTTGTCACCCTCCATACTGCACAAGATTCCAGCAGCCTTGCAGGGTATTTTTGCTCAATCAAATTCTGTATTACAGAATATTCGTACAGCACACCAACTCCAAGCTGCTGTCAGTCACTCTAACTACAGCCCCTACTTGTAGATTCGGCCTGGCAGCAGGGACCCTTTTCAGCAACCTTCTGCACACCTGCAGGAACACAACAAAACACATACAGAACATGTAAGAACCGCAGTAGACCACAAAACAAAACGGAAACAAAACAAAAGTTACAAAAACAAAAAACCATACAAGCAATATTCAAACCGGATTCCAGATTGGGTGTGCAGCCAGCAAACAAATCCTCACCAGGCAAAAAGAGTACGACTAGATGTTAGAAGAACAGCGGACCTCTTCGAAAGCAAACCTGCAGGCACGAAACAATAGTCTGAAATTATATACATGCATAGACAGTTCAGTCAAAGGGTGCAGCTGAACATGATTTACGAATTTCCAGGGACGTGGATTGAAATGATCACCAAGCAAAAGAGGTGATGCGCAATAAAACAATGTTTCTGTCGATAAAAAAAACAGAGAATACAATACACCAGCACAGGGTTGTGAAAGGAGAAAATACAAGTAAGCGATGCATAATTCCAACCGCGCCCGTCACATACCTGGAGACTAACAGATCGATCGTCGCAGGATAGGACACATCAGCGGGCCAAGAAAAAAACTCACGGGAAGTTGGGAGGGAATCTGTCGATCTGAGAGAGTAAAATGGGAGACAATTTTTCCAGAATGAGAAAATGGCCAGTATCCGAAGAGTACCCCTTGACTGGTTGATTGGGGAAAGGGAGAGGGAGGGGATGGAGGTAAGGGGAATGGGACCTAACATTGTTTTGAACCCAACCAAACTGTTTAGACTATTTCTCAATGCATTTCAAACCATGATAACCGCACCCCACCGCACATTTCTGCAGGCACACACGAAGAGATCTGGGCGAGGGTAGAAGTATTGTTCCCATTGGTTCAGAACCGAATGCGGCGACATTTGCCATACGTCAACCAATCCTGCCCTTGTGCGCTGGCAAGGGTCGTCGTCGCTCTCACTAGCGACAAGGTGACGGACGAGGCTACTCGCCAGCTGGAACTTCTTGTGACCCTGGTCAGCCAGTTCCCGCCCCATATGTACAGGTGGGGTGTACACCCCACCCAACCCAGGGTTCCGCTTCGTCTCCGCTAAAAATTACAACTGCGCCTCGGCGAACATATGCGCGAAATGGAGGCGTCGTGCGGAAACACCTGACACGCCCATATTTTCTTCGGCGAATAAATTACAGGTCGCGAACCCACCTGTTCTGTTTCGCGCATGCAAACTTTGCGTCACCTGCAAAAAACACATGCAACCTACCTGTAAGCACCAGGACAAACTTGACCGACCACAGTTGCACGTTGCGCTGGCGCCAGGGTCCACGCGCAACCAATCCGTGTGTGAGCACCTGGCAGGTGGCTGTCAGGTGTGGGAGGGTCCATACAGATTAGATTACACGGCCAAGATCAACCGATCATGTTTATTCCTCATCATGTACCGTATTCTCAGGCACTTAGAGTAAAAGTGCCAACCGCCCTCGAAAAGCAAGACCCTTGTGAGTAAGCTCACCCGAGTGTTTCGTTTGGGTTTATCCTACACAGTATGATAGTCGCATGACTTAAAAGTTATATATTAAGCAGTGCTGCAAGTTTCTCATTTTCCATGCAATACCTTCAACGATGTTCGCCACAAATAAATTCGACTGCCACCTAGTATCTACAGTAATTGTTAAATTTATTTTTATACATATCAATTTTCATGCATTGTATAAATAAAAATTCATAATTACGATTCACGCTGCACACTAAACCACTTCATATACACCAAGCTATGTCAGCTTGCACGCAATTGAACACGTGTCCATTTATCGAAGATAAAAGGCCTCACGGGCCACCGTGGCGGTGACCAATTTCGACCAACCATATCGTGCGTGCGTGGAGCTGCTAGACTGGCCGATATATTCTCTGGCACTTCCAAACCTGGGCCAAACCTATTTCTCGCCACCCATACCTCGGAAACAGGTACGACGCCTGCCAAATGTCGCACTTTCGGTCGGAAACACGCAAACAAAACGCCCACAAACCTTCGAAGTCGCAAACCACTGGCTAAAACCAATGGTTTGCAAGCTGAAGCGAGTGGTTTTCCCCAACTAGATGCTGGCGAGTAGCAATGGCTATTCCTTTTCTAGCAGCTGAGGCATGTAACTCCAGGAGGGAGGGGGTGTTGCACCCCATGAGACCATGGACGCTCACAGGCATTTGAACTTTGATGAATCCATACTCTCATAAATAACATAGGCTGCACCTCATGCTTGAATGGGTGAGTCTTGAACCGCTGCACCATGTGTGAGTGAGTCAGGTCCATCCAAGCAGGTGCAGGCAACCCAGCACCATCCTGCAGGTGCAGCTCATTAATAACATAGGCTGCGCCGCACCCTTTACATCGGTGAGTCTTTAACCGCTGCACCATGTGTGACTGAGTCAGGTCCATCCAAGTAGGTGCAGGTGCTGCTGCAGGTTTAACAACCCAGCACTCCACCCACCCCATCCGTCCCAACCAGTCCCGGCCCTTAACAACCCATCCCAACCCATTCCAACCCGTTCCGACTCGTCCCAACCAGTCCCGACCCGTCTCAACCCATCCCAACCCGTTCCAACCCGTCCCGATCGTCCCAACCAGTCCCGATCCGTCCCAGCCCACGCTGACGCGTTCCAAGGCCACACTCACCTGCCCATGCTGTCCGGAACTGACCCGAACTCACTCGGGCCGGTTCTGGGTCATAAGTCTCTATGTCCGGCCCATGTCAGAGGGATGGGAGGGATGTTTGAACTTGAGAGTGCAGGTGAAAGGGGCTGTCAGGCGCATGATGCAAGCAGGCAATGCAACACATGAGCAGAGAGTCTCAGACACATGTGATTCACCAGACATAGAGATTGGTTTGTGCGGCTAGTTTGGTTTTTACTTCCTTCGTGCTAGTTGGACAATGTAATGGCTTGTTTCTCCATTTGAGCCGACAGTGTTTTCATTATCATTCGAAGCAAACTCCTTCCATCTTGCTCTCCCCCCACCCCACGTTTCAGGATCAACGGGCGCTCATACAAATTGGCTCAACTGTGCAAGAACCCTGTTGCCACTGGGCAGTTCTACCTGATTCCTATGCCCACACTTACAACGTGTTTTTGAGACGTCTTAAAAACACATTGTATGCACGAGGATCAACGGGTGCTCATAAAAAGTGGCCCAACTGTGCAAGAACCCTGTTGCCACTGGGCAGTTCTACCTGATTGCCAGACCCACACTACACAGCACTAAGCTATCAGGTGAACTCCGAAGAATAATAATGAGCACACTTGGGGTCAATCCAGTGGTAAACTCATTCCTTGAGGTTAACCATCCACAGACCTATTTGCTTCCTTGCTGCATAGATCAGCTTGCGACTCCCCAGCATAAAGTCTTGCTCCACATTTCCCTTTTTTTCTATGACAAAGTTCTGAATTAGCTTCTTCATCCTCCCCCATGGCAGGTCGGCAGGGGATAAACCTGCGCCATCGGATGAGGGGACCATGTAACTATCAATAATTGCTGCTCTGATGTTTTCAACATCTGGCTCTGATGTTTCGATTGCCACTTTACAAACTCCCTGGCTGTTCTCTCAGACATTCTCTCCCTACTCCCTTCTGCACTCTTGCACTCTGACACCCAGATCCCAAAAACCGATTCACATCCTCGGCTTCACCCATCTGCGAACCAGTTTGGTCGCAATCTCATGAATTGCGTGAGCATCACCACCCCACACACTGTCAACCAGTCCTTCGGACTCAACATCAATCCGCACCAACGCCTTTCACTCTTCCTTGCCAAGTCCACAAGCATCCTCGCAGCAAGCGTGTCTCTCTGCTCCGTGCTCACTGCTCAACCCCACTGCATCTGACTCTTTCTGATGAGTGGTTTGACTGAGATGAGTGGGTTGACTGAGATGAGTGGGTTGATAGAGATGAGTGGGTTGACTGAGATGAGTTGGTTGACTGAGATGAGTGGGTTGACTGAGATGAGTGGGTTGACTGAGGTGAGTGGGTTGACTGAGATGAGTGGGTTGACTGAGGTGAGTGGGTTGACTGAGATGAGTGGGTTGACTGAGGTGAGTGGGTTGACTGAGATGAGTGGGTTGACTGAGATGAGTGGGTTGACTGAGATGAGTGGGTTGACTGAGATGAGTGGGTTGACTAAGATGAGTGGGTTGACTGAGGTGAGTGGGTTGACTGAGATGAGTGGGTTGACTGAGGTGAGTGGGTTGACTGAGATGAGTGGGTTGACTGAGGTGAGTGGGTTGACTGAGATGAGTGGGTTGACTGAGATGAGTGGGTTGACTGAGATGAGTGGGTTGACTGAGATGAGTGGGTTGACTGAGATGAGTGGGCTGACTGAGATGAATGGGTTGACTGAGATGAATGGGTTGACTGAGATGAATGGGTTGACTGAGATGAATGGGTTGACTGAGATGAATGGGTTGACTGAGATGAATGGGTTGACTGAGATATGTGGGTTGACTAGATTCTCTTGCTCGACTTGGTCTTGCACCTGTCGATCCTATCCAGTGTTGGTGAGTCGCGAGGAAACTTCCTGGCAAAGAGGAAGACGCGAAAATATTACGGATGTAACAGGGTGGATGTCTTTGGCGGGGGTGGATTGGCGAAGGTCGTGAAGTACTGTCAGGTCCCAAGAAGATCTCGATGGGAAGTGACGTAAGATCTGTTTTGCGTGCGAGCCCCTCCTGGATCGCCCTTATCACTGGAGGCAGACTCCCAAAACCCCTCAATTGAAGTATAAGATTCGTCCGTTTCCTCCCTCAGAGTGGAGTGCTCACCACCCCTGTCCTTAGGCGTGTGTCCAGCCGTTTCTCTCTCTCCCTTTCTCCTCATCTACGCTCTTTCATCTCACTCCAATCCCTTCCTTGTTCCGCCCTTCTCGTCCCCTCACCCGGTGTTCCCCCTACATTCTCTATCCTCCTCTCTTGATTTCCTCTCTCTCCTCCCCCTTTCCCCACCCCCTTCTCTCTACCCCCACAAGGCCTTCCCCAGAGTGGGGGCGCGCTCCAGCTGCCTTGACTGCCCTGGGCGAGTGGGCTTTGATCTCTGTGCTGCCTGTGGTAGGGCGCTTCAACCCCCACATGGTGCAGTGCCTGTTGCACTGCACCGGATATGCGAATCAGCGAGACTCTAACGATTGCTGTGAGAGGTGGTTCTAACTCACAGCAGATGGGACACCATGCACCGCATGGTGGAGTGGAGGTGCAGCAGAGGGACGGCGTGCTGTATTGGATATGTGAATTAGTGAGTCTCTAATGATTGTCGGTGAGAGGTGGTTCTAACTCACAGCAGATGGGACACCATGCACCGCATGGTGGAGATGCGGCAGAGAGACAGCGTGTTGCACTGCACTGGATACTCGAATTAGTGAGTCTCTAAAGATTGCCGGTGCGAGGTGGTTCTAACTCACTGCAGATAGGACAGCATGCACCGCAAGGTGCAGCTGCAGCAGAGGGACTGTGTACTGTAATGGATACCCGAATCTGTGAGCCCGGCTGTGCCTTCTCTCTCCTCCATTCGTGCACGGCGGTGCAGCAATGGCTATTCCAATTGTAGCAGCAGAGGCATTTGAACCTAGGAGGGATGGGGTGCTGCACCTATGCGACCATGGACGATCACAGGCGTTCAAACTTTGATGCATCCATACGCTAACACAGGCTGCACCGCATGTTTGAATCGGTGAGTCTTGTACCGCTGCACCATGCGTGACTGAGTCAGGTCCATCTGACCAGGTACAGGTGCAGGCAACCCAGCACCATCCTGCAGGTGCAGCTCATTTTTAACATAGGTTGTGCCGCACCCTTTACATTGGTGAGTCTTGAACCGCTGCACCATGTGTGACTGAGTCACGTCCATCCGAGTAGGTGTAGGTGCAGCTGCAAGTTTAACAACCCAGCACCCCACCCATGCTGCAGGTGCGGTGGAATGTATGAACAGGTTGACCCGTCCCAACCCATCCCGACCCGTCCCAACCAGTCCCGACCTGTCCCAACCCATCCCGACCCGTCGCAACCAGTCCCGACCCTTAACAACCCATCCCGACCCGTCCCAACCGGTCCCGACCCGTCCCAGCCCATCCCGACCCGTCCCAACCAGTCCCAACCCGTCCCAACCCACGCTGACCTGTCCCATCCCGTCCCAGACTGACCCGAACTGACTCGGGCCGGGTATGGGTCATAAATTTCTGTGTCGGGCCCATGCCAGTGGGATGGGATGTTCGAACCTGAGATGGGGCGGCAGGGTTCTTACGCAGCTGGGCCACTTTGGGTCATAAATCTCTGTGTCGGGCCCATGTCATACAAGGGAAAGGGGATGGGATGTTCGAACCTGCGAGTGCAGGTCGGTGAATGCAGGTGAAAGGGGCTGTCAGGTGTGTGATGCAAGCAAGCAGCGCAACAATCTGGGGCAGGGCAGAGAGACTCAGACACATGTGCTGCACCAGACTCAGAGATTGGTTTGTGCGGAAAGTTTGGACCCTCCATTTGAGCCGACAATGTTTTCATTACCATTGAAGCCGACTCCTTCCATCTTGCACAGAGGTTCTAACTCACAGCAGATAGGACATGTTTGGTTTGTACGGCAAATTTGGTCTCAACTTCCTTCATGCTAGTTAGACCCTCCATTTGAGTCGACAATGTTTTCATTACCATTGAGGCCAACTCCTTCCATCTCGCTCTCCCCCCACCCCACTGTTTCAGGATCAACGGGTGCTTATACACAGTGGCCCAACTGTGCAAGAACCCTGTCGCCACTGGGCATTTCGGCCTGATTGCTAGGCCCAAACTTACAACGTGTTTTTGAGACGTAGCAAAAACACATTGGATACACGAGGATCAAAGGGTGCTCATACAAAGTGGCCCAACTGTGAAAGAACCCTATCACGGCGGGCTTCTACCTGATTGCATGCCAGGCCCACACAACTCCCTGGCCGTTCTCTCAAACACGTTCTCCCTAGTCCCCTGTGCACTCCTGCATTCCGACACCCAGACCCCAGATGCCGCTCCACTCGGCTTCACCCATCTGCGAACCAGTTTGGGCGCAATCTCATGGATTGCGTGAGCATCACCACCTCACACACCGTAAACCATTCCCTTAGACTCAATATCGCCCACGCACCAACCAACGCCTTCCACTCTTCCTTGCCAAGTCCACAAGCATCCTCGCTGTCATCAAAGTCCACATCACTCCTGTTGCGGTATTTACTCCTCACTGCACTCCTCACTGCACTCCTAACTGCACTCCTCACTGCACTCCCCACTGCACTCCCCACTGCACTCCTCACTGCACTCCTCAGTGCACTCCTCACTGCACTCCCCACTGCACTCCTCACTGCACTCCTCAGTGCACTCCTCACTGCACTCCCCACTGCACTCCTCACTGCACTCCTCACTGCACTCCTCACTGCACTCCTCACTGCACTCCCCACTGCACTCCTCACTGCACTCCCCACTGCACTCCTCACTACACTCCTCACTACCACGATACAATTCCACCACCAAGGTCCTCTCGCTGTTGGCTCAACAAATCTACCACCACCAACATGTCAAACTATAATCATGCTTGTGCTGTGTAGGCTGTAATGGGGTAGCCCATAAGGGGTACAACCCAAATTAGGGTTAGTCTATGTACCCACATCCCTGTTTCAATGCATCATTCCTGCTGCTAGATTCTAACATGGTTTCAGAGCACTAGGTCTGTAGGACCGTTTTTTCGGGCCCACCTACCGTTGTGGTTACCACGCTACCCCACGTGTTGTCCAGTGCCTGCCTGCCTTGCCTTGTGACGTGCTGCGCTGCGCACGCCGTCCTGCAGCCCTCGTGCTACCTACTGCTGCCCTAGGCCAGCACGCCGCTCCTGCAGGCCCGTAAGACCCGCGCGCCGCCCCTGCAGACTCGTCAGGCCCGTGCGCCGCCCCTGCAGGCCCGTCAGGCCCGCTAGCCGCCCCTGCAGGCCCGTCAGGCCCGCGAGCCGCCCCTGCAGATCCGTCAGGCCAGAGCGCCGCCCCTGCAGGCCCGTCAGGCCAGAGCGTCGCCCCTGCAGGCCCGTCAGGCCTGCTAGCCGCCCCTGCAGGCCCGTCAGGCCCGCTAGCCGCCCCTGCAGGCCCGTCAGGCCAGCGAGCCGCCCCTGCAGGCCAGTCAGGCCAGGTCGCCGCCCCGCGCGACGCGCCCGCTACCCGCGCGTCGCGCTGCAGCCCCGCGCGTCGCGTCCGCTGCCCGCGCGTCGCGCTGCAGCCCTGCGCGTCGCGTCCGCTGCCCGCGCGTCGCGCTGCAGCCCTGCGCGTTGCGCCCGCTGCCCGCGCGTCGCGCTGCAGCCCCGCGCGTCGCGTTCGCTGCCCGCACGTCGCGCTGCAGCCCCGCGCGTCGCGTTCGCTGCCTGCGCGTCGCGCTGCAGCCCCGCGCGCCGCGCCCGCAGCTCGCACAGCGCGCTGCAGCCTCGCGCGCCGCAGCTGCCCCTGTTCCTCGCGGCTGCCCCTGGACGCCGCCCCTGCCTGACTGCCACCGTCGCTCCTGCAGCAGCTGCCACGGAGCGCCCTACTACAGTCGCGGCCCTGCCCTGCAGCAGCTGCCGCGAGAGCCTTCTGCCGCCGTCTGAAGGGATGGGGCTCAAGGGAAAGCTGAAACACATGGAGCGGCGCTACATGTGGCTGCAGAGCATGGTGAAACGTCGCAAGATGAAGCTGCAGTACATTCCGACTACCGAGCAGTCGGCAGATTACTTGACGAAAGCATTACATTTCCCTGCGTTCAACAGCTGCTTTGAGAAAGTTGGTCAAGTAAGGCTTTCGGCGAAGGGGAGCAGTGCAGAGGGCCCTCGCGACGAGGAATAGGTGCCATGACCTTTTTCATGGCTGGTGCGGTGGTGTGTGTGAATTGCAGATCTCTGCAATTCTTGTGTGTTTGTTTTTTTTTTTCTGCATGTTTGTTTTGTTTTCTTTCTTTCTGTTCTGTTCTGATGTGTGGTGTAGACGGTCAATTTCCTCTGCGACGACCAGCATGATCAGTGCAGGGGAGTGTTGAGGTTGCGCTGATCCTGCAGAAGGTCGTTGGGTTCTGCAGGGACACGAAATTCTGACGAAGCGGAAGTTTGCAGAGGACTGGGCGGAGCTCTGCGCTGCAGCAGAAGTATTTCGGGCAGAAGCGGAAATCTGCAGAGGAACGCGTGTCTGCAGAAATCGTGCCTGCAGAGGAGGGCGCATCTGCAGAAGCGGATTTCTGCAGAGGAGCGAAGTCTTCTACCAGCGAACCCCTCCGACGCAAAAGTGCGATCGTTTCGTAACTTTTGCGGAGGAATTTCGGAATTTCGGGACATTGAGAAATTGACCCCGCGGAACAGTGCGTGAAACTGGGCAAACAAATCTGGGGCGAAACTGAACCACCTGCACAGAATGAACCTGGCGCACGTTTTCGTAACTACGAAAACGTGCGTTACAGAAGTTGTTTAAAACAACCTGAACAGCTAAAACAACTACTTTTAGGTAGGTGTAAATTACCAACTAAGCACGTGTTGTAGTTTTCACCTGCCGACGCTGAGTTGGCAAAGCGCAGCTAAAATTAGTTATGTAAACGTTCTTGGGCGAACGTTCTCTGCATGGTTCATTGGTTGGGTAGCTTCTATTTCACCCCTCCTTGTATTCTATTTTTCATTCTATTCTAGTGAATTTTCTGTGTGTGCCAAAACTATGCCTTCAAGGACTTAGACAAATTTCTGTCTCCTTAGTGAACCACCAATATCGTGTCTACGCAGAAAGCATTCCGTAGAGCTCGTTCATCCGTTAGAGCAGAAATCTCTGCACGCCGCCCCTGCCTGACTGCCACCGTCGCTCCTGCAGTAGCTGCCACGGAGCGCCCTACTACAGTCGCGGCCCTGCCCTGTAGCAGCTGCCGCGAGAGCCTTCTGCCGCCGTCGCGGCCCTGCCCTGCAGCAGCTATCGCGGAGCCTCCTGCCGCGGTCGCGGCCCTACCCTGCAGCAGCTGCCGCGGAGCCTCCTGCCGCGGTCGCGGCCCAGCCCTGCAGCAGCTGCCGCGGAGCCGTCTGCCGCCGTTGCGGCCCCGCCCTGCAGCTGTCACGGCCCCGCCCTGCAGCAGCTGTCGCGGACCTGTCCTACCGCCGAGCGCTGGCCCTGCCTGCCACCGG